AATAGAGCAAGATATGATCGCTTCAAATTCTACACGAGTTCGGAGTGAAATCAGAAACATTTGTGAATATATGGTTAATCTGTAACTTTTAATTAAAATAGAGCACTTTTAGCTAAATACAGTGTATTTTAATATTTAGGAAATAATCCCTTGATATTTTGAAACCAGCGCCTGAAGACAAGTTTTAGAAATCGGTAAGATCTTTCAAACGAGATATTAAACGCTTTCAACGGCAAAAAATAGAGCAAGATATGATCGCATCAAATTCTACACGAGTTCGGAGTGAAATCAGAAACATTTGTGAATGTATGGTTAAGCTGTAACTTTTAATTAATGCATTGTAAATGAAGTTGGAACAATAGCTTTAGATCTCCGATTTATGTTTCCAACGAGATATAATACGCCCCAAACGGATAAACACACAGCAGGATATGAGTGTCACAAATACTTAACCTTATCTCTATGATTTAGCGTTTTCAGCTAAAATAGAGCACTTTTAGCGTAAATACAGTGTATTTTATTAATTAGGAAATGATCCCTTGATATTTTGAAACCAGCGCCTGAAGACAAGTTTTAGAACTCGGCAAGATCTTTCCATCGAGATATTAAACGCTTTCAACGGCACAAAATAGAGCAAGATATGATCGCATCAAATTCTACACGAGTTCGGAGTGAAATCAGAAAAATTTGTGAATATATGGTTAATCTGTAACTTTTAATTAATTCATTGTAAATGAAATTGGAACAATAGCTTTACAGCTCCGATCTATCTATACAACGCGATATAATACGTTCCAAAGGGATAAACACACAGCAAGATATGAGTGTCACAAATACATAGCCTTCACTACAAGAAACTGCCCTATTTGCGAAGGGAAAAGTAGTCGCAAAAACCTAAAAACTGGTCGCTAATTGTTAATTGCGACCGGAAAACGTGGTCGCGTGACAGTCGTTGTAGGCCTCGCCGCAAAAAGTATTTTGCGACCGGGAAAAACGATCTGTCGCTAAAAGCTTTTGGGACCGCATAAAATACCGTCGCTAATAATATTATTAGAGACCACTTCCTAAGACTAATTGTGACCGTTATCCCTTCGCTAAATCTAATATATTCAGTCCAGGGTCATTGTTTGCGACAACTTAATTAGCGTATTTGCGACCACTTTCCCTTCGTTTTTATATTCCAAATTAATATGTTGAGTTTATGTATGCCAAACGTAACATAACATATAAATTTTGTATAGAAAATGTATGATCCAAAGCATATTATCATACATACTAGAAAGCTGAAAATTGATTTAAATATATATAAACATAACATCATTTCAAGTTCAAAACAAAACTAATATCATCATCAAAAATTTAATCTATCATCTATGCATCATAATGTATCATAGATACCAATCACAACGTATCATAGATACCAATTTGTAGACTAACTATAAAATGTCTCTAAAACCCCCCAGCTCATGCAAGGCAATAAACATTAAATAAGGAAAGATGACAAGTGGAAGTTCTTCGAATATTAATCTTTGCTTCCTTGACCTTGTAACATTTCTTTAAGCTTTTGGAAATCATCTTCTAATGCACTTAGGCGACTTTTCATGCTTTGGTTTTCTTCTTTCATGCTCTTATTTTCTTCTTCAGCGACGTGCAACCTAGCCTCAAGCTCACTCTTTTTAGAAGAAGGCCCCTTTAGATCTTTGCGGCTCACTCCACCTCCAAAACAAATGACATGACTACGTTGTTGAGGTCCAAAGCACTTCTCAATTACATCGACATGTGGCAATGATGGATTTGATTGAACCACTTCACGTATTTCTTCCTAATGTTTAATCAATGGATTACATAAAACTGAAAAATTATAAAACAAAAAACAACAAGACATTGAAACTGTGTGCTCACATATTTCTGGATTGTTTCCGGTTCCACAAGTTGATCCTTCTTCTTGCGGGTTTCATAAAAAATAACATCCATATTCGGCGGATTGTTATCTTTCCCCCCCTTCAAATGTAAAAAGCACACGGTAAATATTAACTATTAAACTATGTATGCACTTGCTAAAACACCTTCATAGTTACTTATGGTATTAACCCCTTCATTTTGAACAAATCAAAAGCTCACCGGGATGCTATATAATTAAGGTATAGAATGTATTAATGGAGCCACTATCATTGATAGCATTCATGATAAGTGCATTTTGAACTCAGGATATATACCACGTATCAAATGAATATAAGAACAAAAAATTACAAGTAAACCTTGATACTTCTCTTGAACTTTAGAGCAATGGAGATACATCCTATACACTCACTTCTATCCACCCAATATTGAGAGGTCAAGGTGAACTAAGAGCAGTAAACGGAACCTACAACTTTTGTGGCTTCCGGTTTATATCAGGCTATCCCTCCCCTCCCCAAACGCATATCAAAAAAGTATTCCAAACTCTCATTTCAAGTTTATATGATTATTATACCACAGCAAAATATTTGGCACCAACTCAAACTCCATTTAATTATGATTATCAGAGCTCATACTGTCCAAAGACTCCATAAATCATTATATGTGGACAAAAGTTAGGACTTCAAGTACGCTCAAACCCCAGGACAAGCAACATTATGAAATAAATGATCGATGAAAACAGCCTACATTAAGGACAGTCAGCAACATTTGTATATATAGGTAAACTAGAACCAATTCAAGAGATCTAATCTGAGCATAAAAAAGCAATTAGTTATATTGATTAACTACGAAACACTATTTTTCTCTTCATCTAGATATTGTATATATAATCCAAACATACCATTTGAAAAATAAGCTCTCTGACAGGCTTGCTACCCATTCGATGTAGCATTGTCAAACGACTTCTATTTTTTGAACCTCTCTCACTTTTTGCCTGCATTTACATAAATAAGTAATCAATATTCATTGTCATAAAAACATTTCAAAATAGCAAATAATTTAGTGATCCAACATTCTGCTGCACTTGGTAATGGTGTAAGGAAATAGTTATTACTTTTGAATTATTCTTCAAAATATGATGTTAGATGAATTAAATAGAAAACTGAAATCTCAACAAAACACTGAAATCCATTATTAACCACATGAAGAATTCAGGAAATTAATTAGCAAATTCAGAGAAATAAGAAAAGCTAATTGGAGTACATACCTTATATTCTGGAGTAAAATAATAATTCTTTATTAACCATCCCCAATCTTCCTTAGTTACATCAGTTGGAACCTTTTTCAATGCTTCAAGTGGTGTCCTGTTTTTCACATATGCAAAATGCATCCGTCCTCTCCATTTGTTCCATAACTCCCGCATGTGCAAAAGAACATGATCTCGGTGATCCAAGAGATCAAAACCCTCAAATACTTCCTGAAATAATTTAAATTGGAATTAAACCCAACATTTTGTGGCACCCTAAATCCAAGCATACTTTGAAATTATAATTTAGTACACACATCATAAACGAATGAATTCATATTCATACCGTTACAACATCCCACATGTGATTTTTCTTATCTTCATCGATGTCTGCCCATTCAGTCACCGTTAATGGACAAATTTGGCGGTTGCGGATTATTTTTCCTAAATGCCTCGAAAATGATTTATGATTTTCTCCAGCAACACGATTGTTATAGAACGTGACTTTGAGTTTCTCCCCCTTTTTCAAATTGGCAACTTCTTTACATTTATTTATTCCTCTAACCTTCTTTGTTTTATTTTTGCCAACTGAACCTGTAAACAAATATTAGACACACACGCACACACACATATATATCATATTAGGATAACAACAAACTAAAATAATAAGACATCATTTTTAGGTCATTACCTTTAGCCTTTTCACTAGACAATAATGTCTTATGCGCACCCTGAGCTTCTTTTGGCATATCATTAGGCTGATTCAATGATTGATTAGCTGTAATAATTAAGACAAAAAAAGTGAGAAGTAAACTTAAAAGAAAGACATAATAAACAAAGTTGATATTTCCAAAATAAAATGAGTATTACTAAGCTCAGTGTTATGTTGTGGCAACTTATAAGATAAAGGTTGAGCTGTGTCATCCTTGTATAGATTAATGATTATATTTTCCAACCCCTGATGTTCCTTGAGCATATTGGCAACATCCTGATCGCATTTGAGTGGCCTCCCATTTCCATCAGTTATTTTTATCCCAATAGAATAGATGTCAACAAACTTATGACACATCGCCAAAACATCCAGCAAACAACTATCTTCACAAAAATTCTTTTCACGGTATTCCGCTTCTCCAAAGCATAGAATAACTATGTGGGAAGTGAAATCGCCTTAAAAAAAACATCATTAGAACTGATCCAGATTCAAACTAAAATTAAATAAGAGATAAATTATACAAAATTACAAGTATGAGTACCAGAATCTGAAGTGATATTTTCATGCCTTTGATGCATTGGTTCTTTTTCAGCTCCATTAAAACTATTTATAGTGTGTTGGTATCCTTTTCTGATGTCTTCTGCTCGTGACTTATCCATATTAGTCTTATGAGAGAGCACCGATCGTAGCCCTTGTCCACGGCCTCTACCTAATTTCACAATATTATTGTGTTAGTCAATAAATCTTTACATATAAACACAAGAATACATATACATATATATAACCTCTGTAGTTGCTGAAAATATAACTAGTACAATACCACATCCCGAATAACAAAAAAAACAGTCCACAAGAATATCATATCCTCCAAAGAACTTAATGGAAATGTTTTATAGCCCGTTTGAAGTTCTTTTTTTCCTTGTATTTTTCCAGCCTATAACCAAGGTCATGGAATACTGAATGTTGTGAAACTAAAATATTTTCAGGAAAAAGAACTATGAAGTTCAATTTAGTTCTTTAAAAATACTACCCGCATCAATTCAGTTACTTAATAGGCCTAATATAAAATCTGTACAAAAACAGTATCTTTATTCACCATGTCAAATTTAAGTGATTTAATAAAATCAGCTTGTCATAGTAGTACCTCTGGACACGCCATTCAAACTATTCAGTCTTTTTCTATCATCTTCAGCGCATTCCTTGTTTGTCTTTTGCTCTTTCATCTGATCCATGCTATCTAAAAATTGAATAAGATAGTTATACAAAATTGTAATACATACATATATATAAATGCCTAAGAAAGAACTACAAAGAATCACATGGATGAGTTAGAAAGATGCTTTGTTTGGAGGAGAAAAGCAATAAGGAATATCTAGTGTAAAAAGAAATAGGCTAAAATCTTTTCGCAAGAAGGGGAAGCTAAGCTAGGTGCAGAACATCAACGTACCACATTCCCAATCATCATTTTCATAAAATGAGGCATCTATACCCATAGTATAGTTACACAAAGGCGTTCCAAGTCCGCTGCCTAACATGGATAAAGTCAACAAAATAGAAAAACGTATTGTTGATCATAAGCGGCATAAAGACAATAATAGTACTCTTAATTACACCAAATTCCAATGATATAAAAACAGAAAAAGGTCACATCACCACCTCTAGACATGTCATTCAAGTTGTTCGGTCTTTTTCTACCATCTTCAGCATGTTCCTTATCAGTTTTTTGCCTTTTCATTTGGTCCATGCTATCTACAAATTGAATAAGATAGTAATACAATTAAGATCATAAATAAATTGATTAAGATAACATTCCATTCTATCATTTTCTTCATGTTTGTTACCTGTTTTTTTCCTTTTCATTTGGTTCATCGTATCTGCAAATCGAATAAGAAAATGTACCAAAATGTAATATATACAATTGGCTAAATAATAGTGCAGCTATTCATTTGATTCATAATTGAAGCATGTATACCCATAGTATAGTCCCAGGAACGTGTTACAAGTCCTCCACCTAGAAGCATCAATTATATGTACAGAAACAAATGAGTAAAAAAATAGTAATTTTTAAATTATGCCTAAATAGCAGCAACTGTAAGCATTATTAAATCAATCTTAAAAGCACCAAATATGCAGTAATGATATTAAAAAATAAAGAAACTTTAAGTAACTTAAAAGAAGCAAAATGTCATATAAAGTAGTATAATTAAAAACAGTACTATACCGGATTCCAAATTGGCACTTTCATGCATTGTAGCAAACTTTGAAGGCACCATAGTGTTATTAGAGAGCATTGGACTTAGCCCTTGTCCAAGCCCCCTACCCAGAATGCCCGGTTTAATGAATATTGGCTTTGTCGACTTTCCCATTCCAAGCCTATTTAAATTCATTTTGACCTGAAAAATATCAAACATTATAACCTTTAATATTATTGTTATTAGAGACAAATTAAATTAACAAAAGTAAAAAAAAGAAATTAACAAATTATGAAAGTATTCACTAAAAAAACATGACCTGCACTAAAGATGTCTTTTTTCGTTTTTTTTGTCTGTTTTGGTGCACTTTCACTCGTTGAGATTTGCTCCATATCACATCTTACCAAACTAATTTCACCTTCGGTACTAGACATAGTTGTAGGAACAAAATTAGGAGAAGATGATAAAGCATCTTGAACTGCTGCATTTAAATGGTCTAGGTTTTCAACATCATCTTCCATTTCCAATGGCATTGAATATGTGTCACGGGGTTGTACTTTTCTCGCAACATGCCAACCCTTGTTATTATTATCAATGGCATAGAAAACCTGGGAAACTTGGCTGGCCAAGACAAAGGGCTCATTCGTTTTTAGAATACGATGAAAATTAACAATAACAATCCCATATTCATCTATTTTAACTCCTCTTTGTCTATCATATACATCCCACCATTTACAACGAAATAAAACTACCCGTTTTCCTCTAAGATATTGCAATTCAAGAACCTCAACGAGCACCCCATAGTAATCAATGCTCTCAACATCAATACCATTTTCTCCTACAACGATCACACCACTATTCTGAGTCCTTAAACCAGAAACATTTGTGAATATATGGTTAATCTGTAACTTTTAATTAATGCATTGTAAATGAAGTTTGAACAATAGCTTTAGAGCTCAGATCTATCTTTCCAACGAGATATAATACGCTCCAAACGGATAAACAGACAGCAAGATATGAGTGTCACAAATACTTAGCCTTATCTCTATGATTTAGCGTTTTCAGAGAAAATAGAGCACTTTTAGCGTAAATACAGTGTATTTTAGTAATTGGGCAATCATCCCTTGATATTTTGAAACCAGCGCCTCAAGACAAATTTTAGAAAATGGTAAGATCTTTCCAACGAGATATTAAACGCTTTCAGTGGCACAAAATAGAGCAAGATATGATCGCATCAAATCTACACGAGTTCGGAGTGAAATGAGAAACATTTGTGAATATATGGTTAATTTGTAACTTTTAATTAATGCATTGTAAATGAAGTTGGAACAATAGCTTTAGAGCTCCGATCTATCTTTTAAAAGAGATATAATACGCTCCAAACGGATAAACACACAGCAAGATATGAGTGTCACAAATACTTAGCCTTATCTCTATGATTTAGCGTTTTCAGGGAAAATAGAGCACTTTTAGCGTAAATACAGTGTATTTTAGTAATTAGGCAATCATCCCTTGATATTTTGAAACCAGCGCCTGAAGACAAGTTTTAGAACATGGTAAGATCTTTCCAACGAGATATTAAACGCGTTCAACATCACAAAATAGAGCAAGATATGATCGCATCAAATCTACACGAGTTCGGAGTGAAATCAGAAACATTTGTGAATATATGGTTAATCTTTAACTTTTAATTAATGCATTGTAAATGAAGTTGGAACAATAGCTTTAGAGCTCCGATCTATCTTTCAAACGAGATATAATACGCTCCAAAAGGATAAACACACAGCAAGATATGATTGTCACAAAAAATTAGCCTTATCTCTATGATTTAGCGTTTTCTGCGAAAATAGAGCACTTTTAGCGTAAATACAGTGTATTTTAGTAACTACGCAATCATCCCTTGTTATTTTGAAACCAGCGCCTGAAGACAAGTTTTAGAACTCGGTAAGATCTCTCCAACGAGATATTAAACGCTTTCAACGGCAAAAAATAGAGCAAGATATGATCGCATCAAATTCTACACGAGTTCGGAGTGAAATCAGAAACATTTGTGAGTATATGGTTAATCTGTAACTTTTAATTAATGCATTGTTAATGAAGTTGGAACAATAGATTTAGAGCTCCGATCTATCTTTCCAACGAGATATAATACGCTCCAAACGGATAAACCCACAGAAAGATATGAGTGTCACAAATGGTAAGCCTAATCTCTATGATTTAGCGTTTTCAGCGACAATAGAGCACTTTTAGCGTAAATACAGTGTATTTTAGTAATCAGGCAGTCCTCCCTTGATATTTTGAAACCAGCGCCTGAAGACAAGTTTTAGAACTCGGTAAGATCTTTCCAACGAGATATTAAATGCTTTCAAGTATCTAGGAGTAAGAGCGGAATCCGGACGAAGTATTTGGAAAGAAAAGCGCCGGAGTAGTGAAGCCATCGTCATCATCGCCGGAGAAGAAGCTAGCTCATCGTTGCCGGATCGAGTGTCTGCCGCTGAACGGTGCCGTCGTGGCACTGCTGCTGTCTGAAGGAATACCACCTGGATTGGGGGAGGTCGCCGTTGACAATCCTCGTTCGTCGTTGGTCCTCGCTACGAGCTGCTGGACGGAGAAGAAAACGACGGCTACGGTACCGTACGTAATTCTTTCTCCGCATAACTGTTTTCATTATTCTATTTTAATTCTTTTGGGCCACTGAGATAATAATAATAATAATAATAATAATAATAATAATAATAATAATGATAATAATAATAATAATAATTGATAAATTTGAGATGAGAAGTATTAGTGATGAATGTAGCTGGGTTAATTGATAGTAATATTACTCTTGGATAAATTGTTAATTTTTAGTCAAAATAATTACAAAATGCTAAATGATAAAATGAATTCATAAACGAATATTATATTAAAATGATAGTTTACTATGACGTAGTACCATAACTAGATCAAGTAAAATTGAATAGATATTATTTTCACTAACTATTGGATTAATTGTAGTAGATTAATAAAATTAACATAATTACGGACTCGGAAATATTAAGTGTTGAGTAAATTAATAAAATCAGATTAAGTTAAAGATGATTAGTTAATTTAAATAATTGATCTAACAAAGGAAGATTAAACGTAAAGATGGAACAGGATGAATCACCGTAAAACCTTCTTTGATAAACCGTGGAACGTACAGCAGAATGATAAGCGTAAGGCTATGAAATAATAAGTACGACGTTCAACCTTTTCCTAAACCTCGGCTCCCTTTTTATAGGCGAGGTTTAGGTTAGGCGTACCAGGCTTTTGGCCTGTTTAAATGGGCCTAACACTTGGCCTGATTTCTATCTAATTTATGCACTATTTAAATACAAGGATTAAATATAAAGCTAATCTATGACCAACTTGATTCACAATTAAATATCTCCAACAATCTCCCCCTTTGTGATCAAGTGCCATTCTCTTATTGCTTCTGTGATTTGAAGTAGTGCTTTCTCAATCCAAGTGCATGTTCATACTGTCTTAGCATATTTCTCTTTTCGAGGCGATCGTCAATGGCCTTTAAAATTGTCTCTACAGTAGAGTGTTCCTTTTGAACATAAGACGATGCCTCTTGAAGATTTTCTTCCAGCTTTGCCTTCATCTGTAGAATCTGCTCTCTGATTATCTTCAGTGTTCCGTCGCAGTACTTCTCGATTTCACTGACTACCATCAGACGCTTTTCGTTCTTGTGGTTCAGAAAGGTGACTACTGGCGGTTTGAAGAAGATGTGGTAGGCTGGGAAATCTTCAAGTTCTGGACCATACAGTTTTGGCTTTGTCAGATTTGTCTTCTTCAGATTGCATTCAATAGCCATCTGTAGGTCATGTGAAGAGTGTACTCTGATCTGTCTAAGCATGAATCTCTTGATAGCTGTGAGGCCTTCGCTGTATACTATGCTCTGCCTGACTGGAAGGTATCTGTAGGCCATGAGCATTTGGTAGATGTCATCCGGTTTTAGCATGATGAAGTCGTTCTCTTGACAAGTGAATTCGCTAACATCGGTGCGTTGAAGTCTGAAAGTGTAGAATGTTACTCCATGATAGTCTTCAGCCTTCACTTGTAGAATTTGATGAATCGGGAGAATATTCGACTTCAGATCTTGTTCCATTAGTTCTCTCTGTGTACCAGTTGACCTTTGCAGCAACATATGCAGATGACCTCCAGCCTGGTTTCCTTTCAAGTGAGTAAGGCCTCTTAGCTTCAGTTCGTTCAGTGGCTTGACTTTGTCTGGTCTACGCCAGATATGCTCTCTGATTTCTTCTTGGAAGGGGGCTTTGATTCGAACGTTGTCCCAGGGTTTCTCTGTCTTGGGAAGTCTTCCCGCTGATTGTCTTACGACCGATTCAAGAGCTTTCTGGGATTCCTTGTAGTTCTCCCCTTCCTTGCGTTCATCGTCCTCGAGCCGTATAATATCTTCAGAGCATTTGTTGATCAGCTCTCGTAGCCACCAGTTTCTTTGCATGTCTTCTTGCTCGGCTTCAACTCGGAGATCATCCCATTCTGACCATTTTCTCGGCCATTTGTCGTATATCACCGCCTCTTCCAGTGCATCATGGATGTCTTTGCCTGGGGAAATATATGGAGTTCTTTGTATAGGCGGTGATTGTTCCTGTGTAGCACTACCGGGTTCACTAGGATTGCCCGTTGACATCAGCTTAGAACTGGGTTCCAACTGATGGCCTGATGGAGAAGATGTACCAGTGGTAACATCATCAGGACTTCCATCCCCTCCTCGGTTGGTATCTCGGGATGTTATTTCTAGCTCGACCATGCTAGATAGTTTGGCTGTGGATGGTGGCTGTTGGTTTGTTGAGGTTTCGGGTTGAATTGGCTGTGGAGTTTGGCTTGGTAGAGCAGTTTGCTCAAGTGATCGAGGTCGCTTGTTCCCCCCCTCATGAGGATCCGAATCATCGGGGTCCTCATGGGAACGTTTGCGACCACGAAGACTCTCCTTGCAAGTACTCTTGGTTTCAGGTGAGGAAAGAAGAGCTTCTAGTATGGCTTGCTGATGAAGAGTGAGGTTGTCTTCTGGGGTATTTAAGAGATTGTTCAGCAAAGCCGAAGCTAGTGTGTCAAAGGATAGGGAGGAGAGATCGATGGAGGGTGTGTTCGGGTGTGGGGAGAATACTGGTTCTGTATTCTGGGTGCCCCGAGAAATAGAAGGGATGGGAATTTGGTTTATGGATTTGTGGGATAGAGGGGTGGAAGATATGGGTTGTGTATGGGAGATGAACGGTTCAGGGGAAGGTTGGGGTGGTGTATGTTCAGACCGAACCGCTTGGGTGTTCCTAAATTCCTGTGCTAGAGCGGTCATTGCATCTTGCACCCATGGTTTAATGGTGGAATCTAGGAAGCGATTTAGTAGAACGTTTACGTCTTCAAAGGTAGGGTGACCAGTTACGGGGGTTGTAACTGTTGACACAGCATCAGTGAAGATTGCTGATGTGTGGCCTGCATTTAATGATGGAATCATTATGGGCGTAGCAGGGCTTCCAACCGTCATAGCTTGCGCTCTGGTTGTTGCGTTCAGGGTGAGTGCACCTGTATGTGCAGTGAATAGTGTAGGTGTCTTAGAAAAGGAAGAAAATGTGGGAAATGTGACACCTAGACTCGATGTGAGAGAAGAAGGGGTTTTGACCTCGGGAGATAGGTCAATTGTATGCTCAACTGATTCAGAAGGAACCAGCGAGGGGGTTGAGTCCCATTCTTTTGAAACAATAGCCTTTTGAGAGGCAATTGAGTGGCTGGGAGAGGGCTGTGCATGCGCAGTTGAGCCAGATGCTGCGACTTCTACTCGAGAATCGAAAAGATCGGCTCCTGTGCTTAGGGATTCGGCTCGGCTTAT